ACAATATCCAAAATGATCCCATAGTTGGGATTTAATAAAAGTTGAAGAAATGGATGAAGACTTAAAGAAATGACTTTAAATGTTCACCAAAATTTATTACAATGCTGATCTTGAGACATCATATTTTCAAGAATTATTAGTAGTATTAACTACCAATTGTATATAGCACCTATAAATGATACAAATTCAACAGTGTGTATTTGTGTGTGTTTGTGAGTATATATATATTTTTTCAATTCTCACAATAATGCTAGAAGATCAGTGCTCTGCTTATCTTATCTGAGAGATGACAAAACTCATGAAGAATTAATTAAACTAACTTTCCAAATTTACAAAGCTAGAAAAAGGTGGAGCTCAGATTCAAACCCAGAAAATCTGGCACCAGACTCTTCAAAGACTTGATTGATCAAGTTGTGCTAAATTGCAACAGTTGCAAGGCATAGCCTTATTTGTTTGTCCCTATATATTTTTTTGCTTGATTCCCAAAGTACTAAAGTGGACATCCTTCTGAAAACTGAAGGTCACCAATATAGAATCTTAAGGGGACATTTTTGATTGTCTAAAAAGAAGCAAATTGCAATTTTAGAAAAGGTAAATTGTAGTTTAGATGTACTAAAGGTATGTAAGAAAATATTGGATTTTGCTGTTGCTTTGTTACTACTTTTTATTGTTGTTCCTCTATATTATAGTTTATCTACAATAGAGATCCATGAAAAAAAAAAAAAGTACTTGCCTTCAAGGGCAGGTGATGCCGGGGTGGGACTGGAAGCTTGTTCTCTCAGTAATGGAGGTGGAATGGCCGGGCTTTGTCCTGTACATACAATGCAGACATTGGCATTGAAAAAAAAAGAGTATTAACAAATCTAATATCCACAACTAAAAAGCTAGATCTGTCCCCTACATGCATAATTCATAATACCAAGCCAATTATAAATCATATTATTATGCAATAAGAAAGCTGTAATTAAGTGAGATCTTTAAGAAGCTACCTTCACAAATTCAGTTATCTTCAGAGCCATTTCGGAATACATTATTTTTCATAGATGTATATACAATGTTAAATATATCTACTGGACTTCATTAATGGAAAATGTACATGCACTCAAATTAAGCAATTTATTTTTAATATGCACATTAAATTATGGAAACTAAAATCCCAGAAGCTGAGGGGGAGTCTTAATATAAAAGAATTTACTATTTCCATTTAACTAAAAATTCTCAAATGTTATAATATGAGCAATAAAAGAAAGTTGAAATTCTTAGGCCTTTTGATATCGAACAGATATATTTTTTCCACCGTAATAAATGACCTGTAGTTAAGTAAATAATAAGCCAAAGGGAAAATATATTCAGGTTTATAGAACCTTGAGAGCTTCTCTCAAGTCTCCGAGCTTATTATGAGCTATAACAAAAGAAAGAAAACCTGCAATCATTTCCAAGTACTTCTTTATCCCAAGAGATTTCTTTAATTAACCAATACCATCCAGGCCATGAACTGTCAACATTAGCTATCTTATGGTCCCATATAAATTGTTTGCAAAACCTTTTATCACTACTTTTCATTCTGTAAACTTCCACTGCGTGTTTTTTATCCAGAAATCAACGTGGAAGATGGGCATGTATACCTTCTAAAATCTCACTGACAACTAGATCTTATCAAATGTCAGCAGACCTGCCTACTTACTGAAAGTTTTCCTTTTTCAGAATTCACAAAGATTAGTTCTCTATGGTGTAATATGTTTTAGCAAGAAAAGCTATTGGAGTTGTGTGAACACCACATTCCAGGCGTAGGTTCTTATGTCACATGAAGTTCAGTTCATCATATAATGTTCTTGTAGTTGTTATATCATACAGGTTGATTATTAAGCATGTTTAAGTATCTATAGAACCCAAACATACTGTTTCATAACTTAGCCTATTAATTTATGATATTATTTTTTTTCTATGGAAGTAAAGATTTGACTTAAACATAATATAACACGGAAGTTTATTTTTTTCAGTTAGCAAAGAAAAAAATAAGGCTAGGAAGGTTAAGCCACGTTGCCTTTCCCTAGCTAACATTTATATAGTGTTTACTATGTGCCAAGGATGATCCAAATGGTTTTCATGTATGAAGTCATTTAATCTTCACAAGCTGTTTAGGATGTGAGTATTGGACTCATTTTATAGTTTTTAAAACTGAGGTTAACTGGAGCTTTGGCTACTCAGCTCCTGATAAGTGGAACTGAATTTCACTGCCAGTTCTTCCCAAGTTACAGTTCTTAAAGCTCCTCTCAGACTGCATAAGCCTAACAGAGGGTCATTTATCAGGAGTCCGTGACTACAGCTGACGAGGGACAGAGGAATGAAGCCTCTACCCTCAGTTTCCACTTTCTCAGTGGTCAAAGGGATGTCTACTTGGAAAGATCTATTCCCCAACCTTGTTTGAGGGCCGTTCTTGAAAAAAATAATTCTAAGGTAGCGTAGTATTTTGTAGCTTTGAAAATAAGTTACTAGGACAAAGAAGGAGTCAATTAAATGACCAAACTTTTAAAACAGAAGTGTTCATAAATATATACCAATTATTTCTAAATACTAAGATATGTGGATATCTTCATAGAATTGTGTCTATTGAGTCTATGCTGCTTTCTTCCTTGTCATATACCTCGGTAAATAGTAGTGGATGTGTGATTATAGTCTTTTATAGTCTTCTTGAGTTATTGAGGGACTTATTATAAAATAAATAAAATTATTTCCCTGGAAATTTCACGTAATTTATACTATTACATATTTTTAGATTTATCTGAAGGAACTATAAAGTTATTATTTTATATTAAAAAACTTTATTGCATACTTACTATATACAAGCACTGAAGAATTATGAAACCCCAACCTTTCCTTCAAGACATTTCCAATATACTGGCTGAAACAGACCTCTAGACAGATCATTATATCACAGTGTGTTGAAGGAAAATAATATATACAAAGGATATATTGCAGAAAGAGTCTTGAAAGAGAGTAACTGAAAAGCCTGAAGAGAGCCTGACAGGTAAGAAAGGATAGGGAAGACAGAGGGATTCCAGGTGGATGGTATGTGGTAAATAATTTTAAAAAGCCTGGATGCCAATACACACACACACACACACACACACACACACACACGCACACACACTGGTGCTTCTGCAGCATGAAGTGCATATCCAGTTGATATCAGAAATTCTCCACAACTATAATACACTTTTATTCTGCTCTCTAAGATGGCTGATGGCATGGTTGTGAGGTAGTGGACCACAATTGGTACAATGGGAAAGTACGAACACAAGCAAAAAAAAAAAAAAAAAGAAAGGAGAAGCCAGATGGTTGCTTGTCTCCATGGTGACAGTGATACTAGCCCTGGCAGGGAATTACTAACTCAGGACAAGTTTTTGTTGTGTTAGAGTACACCAAAACAAATCATATGGGTCATACTTGATCATGACACATGACTTTGGTCCTGACTCCTATAATAAGTAATGTCAGAGAATCTTACTGAAATCACAAATCGTTTTACAGGGTGAATGAATACATTATACATAAACATATACAATAGTATATAATGACTTATATGTATAATACATTATACATCATATGTACAATACATTATACATATAACATATACAATAATGCATAATTGATTATATTAAATACATTTTATTTATAATACAATGTATTAAATATAATATTATATTTATAATCCAGTTCTACAACAAAAGCAGAGTTGTTTAGTATAAAGACTGCATGCTTAGGAGTCACAAGGGTATAAGTGATAGCTTCAGATCCGTCACTTAGAAGCTGTGTAAATTTGAAAATCTCATAACATCTCCAAGCTTCAGTTAGGGTGTTTATAAAATGAGAATAGTTGTAGGGGTGTTATAGGGATTAAGTGATGAAGCACCCAGTGCATGGTAGATACTCAAAATATTAATTCTTTTCCTGATAATGTATTTACAATTTAAATCCCATCTAATTACACAAGAAGATTTGAAGCTGACTTTTGAAGTAAGAAAACAAAAACAAAGAAAATTGAACATGACAGTAATAGCAGAATTCATTTGCAGAAAAGAGGCTTATAATTTTATTAGGAATATATTCCTTTGGAATTCTTGAAGATTGTTACTCTCTGAAGGAAAGATTTAGGCTGTTGAAATTTACATTTGAACTCTAAAGGTGCCCTTCATTTTACAAGCCATTACTTGAAAATCCCTCTGACATTCAAACACAGTAAATTGGCTTCATTTCTGTTCCTTGAGTGGTTTTGGCTGGCTTATTTCCATAGTACCTGAATGGTACGTTTGCAAATTGCTAACATTTTATTGTTTTCGTTTTTTTCCCATACAAGTCAATTTGATTGTTTTGGGTTTAGTCAAATTCTTTTGGGGATAGTGTACAGTGTACGTTCATTCTAATGATCTAAGTTACTGATGTTTTTTTTACCTGGTTAGAAATGATGAATGAGATTACTCAGAATCTTGTCAAGGTAGGAGGCTATGAGCTGAATTTCGATTGCATGAAGGAAAAAACAGTTCACTACGCTAAAGTTTAATGTCTCTAGTTTCTTTATAAATACAATTCCCTGATTAAAAACCATTTCAGAACAACTGAAGCCTACTCCCTATATCTTGTAACAAATGTTGGCATTATTTTTTTCTCTAACATTTAATAGAGATTTTATCATTATTCTTTTTGAGACGGAGTCTTGCTCTGTCACCCAGGCTAGAGTACAATGGCGTGATCTTGGCTCACTGCAATCTCCACCTCCTGGGTTCAAGCAGTTCTCCTGCCTCAGTCTCCTGAGTAGCTGGGATTACAGGTGCACGCCACCAGGTCCAGCTAATTTTTGTATTTTTAGTAGAGACGAGTTTTTGTCATGTTGTTCAGGCTGGTCACAAACTCCTGACCTCGTGATCTGTCTGCTTTGGCCTCCCAAACTGCTGGGATTACAGGCATGAGCCACTGAGCCTGGCTGCGATTTTATTTCATAGACCGTCGTTGAAATTTCCTGGAGGGAGGTATGAAGAGTTACATCCAGAGAACTCTGAACATTTTGGAAGGACCCTAAGCCTGCAAACAATGAATGGCAATAAATCCTGGGACTGGAAAGGTATGAGAACCTCCAAGTAACCATTGAGTTAAAATTTATTTACATTAAAAACACAAAATATGTGAAATCATTGCAAATTCCTGTCTCTGTTTGTTCTTGAAGGTTCATAGAAGGCATTTGTAAATCTGTGACTAAAAGTAAAGTGAGAAGATGTGAATTTAATAAGGAAATGATAGTCAAGTTTATTAAAACAATAATATTACTTAAGTATTGGTATAAGTTTCCTAGACTACTTTCATGAGATGTAGAATATTTTCAAAGTTTGGAATTTAACACATACTAACATTAAATGAAAAGATGGTTTTATATTTTAGGCTGAGACATGTGACTGTGCTAAGGTCCTATGTTAATAGGGACCCTTTGACCTTCATGCTTCCTTATGATCACTTGCTTTTGCCTTGTACTTTTGCATCACTTAGAGATGGAAGGAGAAGACCCTAGGGATATGGGGTGCCAATCACTGCTTTTCCCAACCACATCTATTAAAAATAATTGAATTGCCACTCATATAATCCCAGATGTTCAGATTTGCCTTGAAACAAAGACCTCTCCATCTGGGGATAATCTGAAGAAGTTGAGGAATTTATGTGAGGTGGGCAGGCAAAGGAGCTTTTGACTTCATTTAGCAATACAGACATCTCTATACATTACATTTGTGTATTGCTAAATGTCTCCACTGTACTTTGTATTTCTTTTCTTGTCTCCAGGGGCTTGTCAACACCAAGGGCAACCATAGAGTCCTACACAACGAAAGATACAGCAGTGTGAAAGAGACCTGGATAGAAAAACAAAGAGAGAGTCAGTGAGCCAGAGCCAGAGCCAGAGCCAGAGAACAAGAGAGAAAGGCATAGAATGGAAAGCACAGACAGAGAAGGCAGATGCATAGAGAGACAGAGATTCAATGGGAAAATGAAGGAAGGAAGGAAGAAAGAAAGAAAGGAAGAAAGGAAGGAACAAAAACATTCTCAGCATTACAACTTCTGCCCTGTTCTCTTCCAGAACAGTATGAGCTCAGTCTTATTTTAGTCTCTCAATTTTCTACAACTAATAATTTGCTCTTTCAGTTAGTGGCAAAGGCTTCACAACAAAGTTCATCTTTAAAATTAGGCACTTTTAAAATTTATGATGCCAAGCCTTTTGTTCTGGATATGGTATGTTGCACAGGTCTAGGGACTGAGATTTCAGGTGTCTATAACCTTATTCATTTATTATTAAATCTTTGAGTGTGTATTTCTTTTTTTCTCTTCTTTTATTAGTATTTCTTGAGTCATTATCATACAACATATATAGGTCTTCCACCGAGGATACAATAATGTATATGATGGACAAGATATGTAAAAGTGTCTTGAAGAGACTTGGTCTTGTGAGGGGACAGACAGGAAACAGGCAATTATCACCTAACTTAGGTCTATTGTTTCAAGGTAAAATAAGAAAATTAGCATCTGGGTTAAGTGGGATGTTGTGTTTATGGAGATAATAGTACAAATGTAATTACTGAGGGACAATGGTAAAGAGAGGGCCCTATCATGGAGCTTACATTAGCAATAGAAGGAGACAGGTGATACAAAAGCAGGACAATATTTCAGATTTCAGAATGGCAAGCAAAATAGAGTAGTGAGGCAGAGAATGACTGGAGAAAGAGACTATGCTGAACTGGATAGTAGAGGAAGAGCAGGGCCCCACTAAGCGACATGGAGTTTTGTGCACATTACATGAGTTCATATGGAACATTTTAGGCTGCTTTTGAAGGGCTTTAGCATGATAGGCTTTAGCATAATAGGAACAAAAATAATATAAAGAAAAGGATATAATATATATCAGGAGATCAGTTGGAGACTATTGAAATAACCCAAGTGCTGGTTGGGCTACATAGGTACAGTGGAGAAATACTTACTGAGGCCTACTCAGTATCAGACCCTCTTCTAGGACGTGGAGTTATAGCAGTGAACAATACAGAAAAAAAATCCCCTGATTCATAGACCTAAGACTCCAGCAGGTGGAGACAAAAAATAAAAAAATTAAAAAAATAGCAACTAAGTGAGTTAAAAGGAAGAGTACCCTATAAAAATTTATCAGGGAAATGTTATAAGCAATGCCATTTGGAGCAATGGGTAGTGACCTTAAATGTATGGTCAATGAAAATCAGAAGTTGTGGAGAAGGGGATGAAATCACAGTACATTTTAAAGTAGACCTAGTAAGACTTAATGAATTTGATGCAGCAAGTGAGAAAACTAAATCAAGAATGACTTTTAAAATTTGACTTGAGTGTCTGGGAACAAATAAATACAGTGCCCAAATTAGGGCAGAAAATTTTCCATTCACTCAGCTGCTTACAAACTCATTTGCTTAGTCTTTATTGCCTCTTGCATTATATAGTTTTGAGTTTGCTGGAGTGGATCTCCAATGAAGAAGCCAGAGATGGTTTATTTGGTTATCCCAAGAACACATAGTATTGTTATTGTACATATATATAATATATAATACATCATACTGTATATATACAAATATATAATACACATACTTGTGTGTTATATATGTAATATGTAAATATATATTAACGTAAATACATAAATATAAATGTATGTAAATATGTATTAATATACATTTAATATATGATTAACACATATTACATATAATTAATACATATTAATATATAATAAATATATAATACATACATATTATATATTATATATTTGTATATACAAATACAATATATTTGTATATACTACATATATATCTTATTGTTAATTAACTTTCAAGGGATTTTCCATAATTTTAGAACAGTTTTAAACAAATGGATTATTTAACAAAAATTGGCTATGTGACTCTACTATAAGGTGTTTAAGACACCAAAAGCTTAAACTTCTTAGATCAAAGGGCATCCTCCAGGCCAAAATTTTTCCACTGGAATGGTTTCTTTGCTTCCTGATTAAAAGCTTCTCTAATATATTTCCGTGTGCTATTAGATATTTGCGTATTCACTTTGATGGAAATCAAGAATAGTAGCCAAATACATATTTCATGCATTCTTTTGATTAAAAATGTTAAAGGTAATATTAGTGTTTTTTTTCATTCTCATCTCCAATTTATGAAGTAGAAGTAATTTTCCGTGGAACAGCTAACTAAAGAAAGGAAATAAGATTAATTCAGATTATATCATTGTTCCATTTATTCTTGTACCCTGATTATGACAGAATACCTGATGTTTGGGGTATAACAAAAACAGATGCTTAGAATCATAGAGTTTAAGAATGTAAAAGACTTTTGAAATCAGCTATTCTAACTCCTTAATTTTTAAAATAGACAAAAAAAAGGTCTTTAGAAGGATAAATAGCCTCACCCCAAGGTCATGCATTGAGAACAACCCCAATATAAGATTAAAAATTTGTAACTCCATTTTGTTTTTCTATTTAATCAACTATCTGGACAGTCAAGATAAATGCCACTTATTTTATCTGTTACCATAAATGACTCATAACCCTTGACAAATCTATAGGTATTCATTTCTGAAGGTTAAAAAAAAAGTCACGGTTTTTTTACATGGTTATTTTCTGTTTAACCTTAATTAGACATTGAATGGAGTTGATATATCCTACAGAAGAAACCCGACACTTAAAGACCAATCTCCACAAGAGCCGACTAATTTCTGCAGTTCTAGATAGACTGTCAACTGGGATATTTTTTTAAACTTTCAAAATTACTAAGTCTTCATTTAAAAAAATAATTTCTTCTAGTTATCTTAACAATATCTGTTACAACTCCACAGAAAATCATATTTGCATATGCATAAGGGAAAGGGGAGATGGTGAAGACAGAAGATACAGATAAACAGGTAAATATGAATTGTGTTTTCATTTTAGTACAAAGAATAAAGCTGGTAGGAAAGGAGATTAATGAGACAAAGTGCATGCACTGACGTCTCAGTTAAAAATAATAATGTATTTAATGTACCTAGAATGCAAATGTCCTAACTTGCCATGGAATCATCCAATCAAATGTTCAACACATGGGATTTCAAATTTTTAGTGATAAAACTGCCTAGAACATGGCTAATTTTAGTCAATCCTCAAAGCTTAGGTCTTTTAGCTCTTCTTAGACTCCCCTCTACCCATTCCCATGACAACATTTTATGCTCTCAGAGGACCCACTGTAAGATTTATCCTCTGCTTCTCTTGTTCTCAATACATTCGTTTATTTACAAATTTGGTTTTTTTTAAAAAATTCTCAGTAGACAATAAATAACTTGAAGCTAAAATATGGACCATTTTAGGCAATAAATACATGTTTAATAAAGGAAAGAGCATTATTAAAAGTGAAAATTATTGCTTAAAAGAGTGAGTAAACAAATTAATATTGCTAAATGCCACTCTGTTTTTACTGCTTCTGGAGTGTTTTAATGTGAACGGACTGAATTATAGTATTTTTAGAGCTCTTGGTAAAATGTGAAATAGTTCCAAATATATACAATGAAACTTTCACTTATGTATTTATGGGTTTTTACCCCAATCATTTATAGTTCTAGACCAAAAGCATTTATTTCCTTTCTGGGGGAAGTTAACTAATTTATGATTAGAACACTAATCTTTCAAAGAAAGTTACACATTTTTCCATGGTTAGTGGGAAAAACTGAACTAAAGCTCTAAGATAAGGAAAGACAGTTTCATTATTTAAACAGCTCTAACTCCCTGAAAGTGAAAAGACTATGTCAATTATCTATTGTGGTATCTTTTAACCTAATGAATTCTGCACTCACATATAAAAATTGAAGTGTGTTTTAGTGCCAGAAGATGCCTTAGAGTTCACTGAGAACATTGAAACCAAAGAAGATGGATGACTTGTCAAATTCATCCAACTGACTTACAAGTAGAACCCAAGTATTCAGATTTCCATTGCAGTGCTCCTATACAACAGTATCCTGTCTTTGAGCTTGCATTTGCAGGTATCTCAAAAGAGCATAGAGGGAATGGAATGAACAAAATGTGAGATAAAATTTTAGAAAATGTGCAAGACAATTTCAGTTAATTACAGACGGATATTATATTGCCATATTATATTTTAGAATTCTAGTTTATAATTTTAGAATAATAAAGAAAACAACTTAAATGTAATATTCCATATTACAGTAGGAAAATATTATTGATGGGCATTTTAACCCTTGTTTTATTTGAGGATAACTTAAAATGCAAAAAACCCATGCTTTCAGCTATCAATTATGACAATTCAATATTCAAAGTTAGAATGACCTCATATTTCTGAGATAATTGTTTTTCAATGTCAAAAATAAATTTAACATTTTTTATGAAAATGGAGATGCCTATTCCCTGAGTGCTGAATGGCAGAAGTGGCTATTGAATAAATATCATTCATTTTATTAGAAATCAATTTTTCTTCATAGCAAATACTTAAAATATTAGACTTATATATAAATTGTTTAGGTCCATAATTAAATATAATTTTAAAATTGACTTTCAAGATAAAACAGAAAACTTTAAGTAAAATTTCAAGCTGAAATCTAGGCTTCATTTATACCCCTCTGCATGCCCTTCCCCTCTCACATGTTAACATACTGGCTCACTAATAAGTAAATCATAACTTTATTCATTTAATTTAATTGATCATTGCTATGAATACAGAATACATACCAGTTCTCATAATGCTGTTCTGTACTGATCAAGTTTTCACAATACATATTCCTGAAAATGGGTACATTGAATATGTCATAGCCTCTCAAGTTAAAATGTGATAGTTCAGCTTTCATATTCTGTATTACTTTTCAGAGATGCAACACATACTAGTGACTCACTAACAGACTGAAAATCAAGTCACATCTACTTATTGATTTTTGGGAATGTGAGTGGCAAACAGAGAGGTGAAGAAATAAGAAGAAAAATGGTTCCCAGAGGTGAAATCAGTACATTTACAAAACATATTAAAATAATTTATAAATAGAGTAACAAATTTGCTTCTTCAGAGGTAGGAGGCTTGACATTTTTGTAAACTATCTAAACATGGAAAATAAATAATGCCTCCTGTCTCCTATGTTTTCTGGTTGTTTGACTTTAGGATTCTACTAAAAAGGTTATTGACAGAGAGCAGCTGGCATAGTTGATTGCTAAATCAATTCCCAGACTCCTAGAGTCTGTTGTTTTCATTCTAAACAACCTTAGGACCCACCAACAACTTCAGAGATAAATTTACTCTATGTTTTCTTTCATCTCAATCTGCTGTCATTCTAACCATTAAGAATACAATTTACACTTAAAAATCTAATCATGGAACTGTATGATATTTTATCAGGCCTTACAGTCAGCTTAGTGGATACTCAGAAATTTAAAAGTCAACATATTCAAGACTCTCAATGATTTTGGTGATAAATCATTTGTGCTTTCAAGTATGAGATCAGAGTCAACTCTGCTTGTGGTTTCTATGCCAGATTCCTTTCACTCTCCAAACCAACAAAGGCAGCTAAATCTTGTTAGCCAATTAGCTGCTTTCTTTGGCAATTATATTCACAAGGTTTAGGTGTATATGTCATATTTAAATTATAAGAGAAACAGCGATTATGCATTTGTCTTAAATTGCAGCACTTAGAAAACAGAGTGAAGAAAAAGAAAAATTAAAATTAAACCTAAGTGGCAGGGACCCTCTGTGTTTAAAAACATATTTGCAATTCTCCCTAAGTCCTGGAGACAATATATAGCCATTTGAGAAAATTCTACAGTTTCCCCAGATTCAATTTTCTAATTTCTGAGTTGAAGAGGTTGTAACCCACCATACAAGGCTTTGTGAGAAATACATAAGATGATTCATTCCTAGAACTTAGCACAGTACCTGGCATACCATTAGCCCTCAGTACCACACATGTTCCATCTACTTTTATAGTCCTCATATTGTCATCATGATTATCTCTAACAAACAATCTTCAAAACTTCAAAAATCCTTAAAGAGTAGATGCAGAATAATATCTTGAGAACTACCTGAGTTTCCCTCCAATTCCAAGCTCTTTGTAAATTTCCTTTCTCATTATCCTTAAATGCAAGGGGATAATTGTTAAAGCTATCACGTGGCATGTGGAAAAGTATTGCTTCTCTGCTAAACAGAGATCTAATTCATAGAAAATAAAATCAATTTGGCACTTTTAAATCACCCCATTACTACTTGGTATTTGGCAAAAGGAAGGGTGTTGCAACTGTAATACCTCCCTTCCCCTTTGCCTCCACCTGCGGGAAAATGTCCTTCCTTTTTTCTATTTTTTGGCTGCTACACATACAAATATTCTATGTTCACAAGAAATTCAGAAACATGAAAAGCCTAAAGCAGAGCCATAGAGCCAATTAAAAAGAAATCTTCTGGTTTTGGAGTTTACCTCAGAAGGAGAAAAAATAACCTGAGGTTTTACTTTAGCAGAAATTTGTCTACAGGGTGCTTTAATAAAGATGAAAATAGTTCACACATCTTCAACTATAGGCATATAACATAAACTTAAATATTTTACAGAAAAGGATGAAATGGAAGCATGTTAATAATTGTTATTTAATAGGCTTAACATGACAATTAAATTCACAAATATATTCTCACTTGAATGACACATTTGGAAGTCATCCAATCTCTCTTCCTGCTTTATATTGTGTATAATTGATACTATGTTGTCATTTAAAACAGCACACACTGCTTATCCAAGGTCTGCCAAGAGGGTATTTATAATCACATTAAATAATATTCCTCTGGGAGAAAATCATTATTAATGTAAACATTGTCATGAATTATCAAAAATGGAAAAGGTTTACATCTTTATGCACCCAGTATATAAGAGAATATTAAATCATCAATTTGTTTATTACAGGGAGTTTCCTTATGACAACATTGTCATAAGGAAATATTGGTACTTTTTCACATCTATTTTCACTCATTTTCTATAAGAAACTGGAATTGGAATTGTTGCAGACAAGTCTTGTGTACAAAACAAGGGCTCATTACCCAAACACTGTGGATGGTTACAATTGGAAGTGGTTTATAGGTGACATAAACCACTTTTCCCCTCAGGAAAGCAGCATATTAATCACAAAGCAGAAATATGGAATCAAATAGGGCAACAGGCATTTGTAAGACAGAATATTAATAATTAACTGTGAATAACTAAAGACAAACACAAGTATGAATGGTCTAATTTGGAAGAGAATACAGTGGTATATATCACTTCTGTGGTACAATATGTCGTTCAGTTTTTATCCTGAATTGATTTTTTATTTAGTATTATTAATTTTTAAAAATGACATCTAATTTTATTACTACTTCTTCCCTATCTGGGATGAACAAAAATGACCACATAAATAGGAAACAATACTAAACAAATTGCAAGTAAATAATAAAAACAGCCACAATAAAGCTGAAGATAAGCATTGATAAACTATGCCTTGATACAGCCTGTTCTAACCACTGTGGCCCTTTCTCTGGAATTTTATAGAGAGTATAATCTGCATCATATGATTTAGTGCTTAATTAGTACCTTCTTCTATTTATCTCCAACAGCTACTTTATATTGCTCATTGTTTTATTTATAATCTCTGAACGAATTGTTATCTCCTTCTGGTTTGAAACTCTTGCTATGACTGCTAGCATTAAGTACATACTAGGGATTCAATAATTGCTGAGACATTGATTAATAGAACAACTTTGTGTATAGCAACTCAGATGTTGATGAGGTTGTAAATAGGAGAATATACTGTCTTTTGAATGTGGAACAATTATTACTGCTGTACAGGAATAACAGCATTATTATGTCTTAATGCAGGATATTTTAGAAACCAAAATATGAAATATGTTGAGCTAGAA